GCCTCAAGAGCTAAGGAGTCTGAAACTGGGAGTTACGCTGGGCGTAATCCCAGTACGCGCGGCGTAGGGGGTCGCTTTCCCCGTTTCTGTGAGGTCGCCGGGTACGCCCAACGTACAGGCTTGGTACACGCAGCGTAACCCGGAGAGTTGACTTTTGTTGACTTTTAGGGTTTGGTCAACAATTGGACTTTTGGGACCATTGAGGGGTAAAATGGTCTTTTAACCTTCTGAGAGGGCATAGGAAGGGATTAGTCTAGCCTTGAGAGCCGTTAATGATTTGAAATAATTACTTTATGTGATTAGGCGGGGCTAGGTCGTTGTTTCGAGATTCAGGGATATTGAGCACGTGAGTTAGACATCATACGAGGTGAGTCTTCTCACTATAATGTACCTGGAAGGGTACTTATGTGTGACCGGAAGGTCTTCTATGCTATGATGTATGTGCTATATGCGGTTATGTGATATGTATGTGCTATGTATGATTATGTATGATATGGACCGGAAGGTCAAGAGGTTACGGACCGGAAGGTCGATACGGGTAGGACCGGAAGGTCTACCGGGATTTGGGACAGGAGTCCCCTAAGACACATGGATCGGAAGATCCTACAGAGTTGTGGCCTGGAAAGGCGTATGTGTGGCATGTGGTATTTTGGGGAACTCACTAAGCATTTACGCTTACAGTGGTTATGATATGTGTTTCAGGTACTAGCGAGGATCGCGGGAAGGCGCCGGCATGATTCGTACACACTTACGGAGTTTATGTTATTGAGATTCTAGGACATGGTTTGTTATGACACAGTGAATACATTATGTTTTATGATTATCGTGTGATTGAAAGTATGATTTAAAAATGAAAAATTGTTTTGAAAAATTACGTCGTTACAGAATCCATCAGATATGTCATCATTTATGTCCTTGTCCATAACATATGCAAGATCTGTCTTTTTTTTTGCATGAGGGTGAAGCAAATAAAGGACATAAATGAATTGGTCATGAAGATCAACAACATTTCTACTTGAATTTATAAGTTGTCCTTGTGTAAATTACATTTATGATCCCTATGTAAATTACCCAATTTAGGCAACATAGTGGTTTTTAGACGAAATATGCAAAACATGTTTCATTCTAGGACCAAAACATGCAACATTGGAACTCGGACCAATATATGTAACCAACTTTGATTCCATAGATGTTTATTTATGCAACGATGTTTCACATCTTTTACCAATTTATGCAACAATACTTCACATTTATACCAATTCATATATAAATATGTTACCTTAAGCTAACTATTTACCTTTACATGTACAATCACCAATAGGCTCCACACGAACATGCCACATCAACAAAGTGATGAAACATGTAATTATCTCTCGTTATAATCTCCCTCTTTTCAACAAAAGATTTATACGTAATCGTTGAATGGCAATCTCCACATATTCTCAAGTTCTTAATAATCCTTGAAGGCCTCGAATCCTATGAACTAATAATCAACCCAAAATCCAAAACAAGCTTCTCATTATGTCCACATAATACCATTTCCTTCTACCCTTCCTCCATCTTTTGCATTACAAACTTAGTATCAGGAACATATCCCACTTCTTTAATCTTTATATACAACTCCTCCATCTTTCTCAAAATTAAATCCATAAAAGGATACAAATTATCTCCAACAATAAAGCTATAAACTTTCCTATTAACGTCAATCCAACTATATCCAGGAGCTTTTGTAACCCCTCTCTCCTTCATCAAACACCTTATCCTCAATGCATCTTCAAATCATCCTAGCATTGAATAAATATTCGCTAATAATATATAATTTCTAAAACTTTCGGGCTCCATTTAAAACAGGAATCTTGCAGCATTTTCCGCCATTTCAAGATTCAAATGTATTCCAGATGAACCCAACGAAGAACCACATACAACAACATTGGGTTCGAATGACATCTTTTCATTGAACTCCAATGTGTTTGTGAATTCACCAGAACGTGCGATTTGATCCACCATACGCGCGTGTTGCTCCATTTCTGGATCCAATTCGTGTTTTTTCATCATTTTGAAGTAATTACCCTCCCTTCTTTTTGTTAACACCGAGTTGACACATTTTAGAAAAGAATTCTAGAGCTGTTTTAGTATTACCATATTGAGTAAGCTTGTGATTATTCCGTTCCATGTGATAATATCTGGTGAAACACCTTGTAACTCCATTTCATAAAGGAATTTTATGACATCATCACGACAGCCTTTCATAGCAGACATAGAAAGAATCGAATTCCAAGACACCAAATCTTTTTGTTTGATTCTATCGAAATGTTTTCTTGCCACATCACTTAGCCTTTGGGATTTGGAATAGAAGGTAATCAACGAGTTGCTCACGAACAAATTTGAATCAAGCTCTTCACTACCCATGAACCTCTTTTCCATTTCTTTCCAAATATAAGTGGGCATAAGCGGAAATAACACTTTATATGGTGGTGGAATTTGGTTTTACTCCTGGAGTCACCATCTTCTTGAATAAACTTAATGCTTGATATGGGTATCCGTTTTGTGAATTACCCGTGATTAATGCAGTCCATGACACCCGCCCATTTCTGAGAAATGTTTTGCAGCCTCTTTAAACTGTCCATCTTGAGCATAACCACTAAGGATTATGTTCCATGTAACTCGATCTGGCATCACACCTTTAAGCCTCATTTGATCAACATACCTCAATGCCCTTTTCAAGTCTTTCTTTTACATGTATCCAGAAACCATCATGTTCCACATGATAACATCATTTGAAGTCATCTGCTCAAACAGTCGTCTTGCAATATCCATCCTTCCAGGGTTTTGAAGGCACAAAGTGGCAACATTCGTCAACATTAACTCGTTTTGTGGGACATGATTGGATACGGTTTGATTGGTAATTTTGGATTTTCAAGAATTTGCATACTTGGTTATGGTAGAAAATTGATGATGGTGGTGGGAAGAAGATAGAAGATTTAAGCGAACTGTTACAGGGTTTTGAAGGCACAAAGTGTTGTAATGAAGGGCTAATGGAGGTGAATAAATGGCCATTCAATCCGGTAAGTGTAGATGGTGCAAAGCTCATTGGATTCATAGACAACCAATATTTTGGTGTCTTTTTTATATTCATACTAGTTTATAAACACGGTTACAAAACTAATTAAACTTTAATAGTAAAGATTCATAATTATTAATCAATTATTTTAACTAAATCATTTTAAATAAATTATTAATTAAGAGATATATCAAAAATTTTAAGTTATTATAACTTCAAATTTAACATATAATTAGAAAAAGTAAATTTGAATTTTGAGTAAATTACACGAATGGTCCCTATGGTTTGGGGTAATTTGTGCGTTTGGTCTCTAACTTATTTTTTTAACTCAGAAGGTCCCTACTATTTGTTTTTGTTACGCGGTTGGTCCCTACTGTTTGTTTTTGTTACGCGCTTGATCCATGTCTTACCTAAAAAGAGTATTATTTAAATAGGGAAAAATGGTGGGGTAGGTAAGGTAAGGTGAGGGGGTAGGGTTGGGGGTGTGTTTATTTAAATAAATTAAAAAAAATCAAGGGAAAAATAGTCTTTTTAGGTAAGGCATGGACCAAGCGCGTAACAAAACAAACATGAGGGGCCTTTCGAGTTAAAAAAATAAGTTAAAGACCAAACGTGTAAATTATTTTAAACCATAGGGACCATTCGTGTAATTTACTTTTGAATTTTGAATTGATTTGTCTAATTTATCTACATGACATGTGACATAATATTAATGAGAAGTTATATCAGAGTGACACATAACAAAAGAAGATTAAAACTATTCTTTTATTAAAACAAGGATTAACTTATTTCTTGTGTTCTTTATTTATTTTATTTTATTTTACTTTTTTATTTTATCATCTTTTTCTATTTTATCAATTTTTATTACATTCAAATAAGTTGACATAAATAATCAATATTGATATCGACATAAAATAACTTAAAAAAAAAAAGATAATCTATTAATATCCACAAAATAGTTTTTTTTTTGAATTGTTCAAGCATATGTTTAAAACTAATGAACCGGGTTGGTTACAAAACCTCGATCTTTGGTATTTTTTCATTATAATTACTTTTTATCTAGTATCTTGCTAGTTTATTTTTTTTTAAATACAACTGTTTAAAAAAAATAATCTATTAAGATCGACAAAATAGTTTTTTTGAATTGTTCATGCATATGTCAAGCACAACCCTCCGATTAAAAAATAATGTATTTTTCATCTAAATTCATAAAGTGGCCAAGTGAGAGAAACAACCAATGCAACTTTGGCTTTAGCGGGTCCATAGTTATGTCAATTTCATTATTTTATTTTAGGGATAACGATTTAAAGAGCAATGAACTTTCGATTTTGTTCACATTTAGCCACTAAACTTTTTTTCGTTATCTATTTGTCACTGAACTATTGAAATTGTTCACATTTTACCCTAATGACCGATAACAACCGGTCATAAGGGTAAAATGTGAACAGTTTCAATAGTTCAATGGCAAATAGATAACGAAAAAAAGTTTAGTAACTAAATATGAACAAAATCGAAAATCCGTTTCCCTTTAAAAAAGTTCAATGACTAAATGTGAAAAAACTTTCTCTTGTATTATGTTTTAGCAAATTATTTATTTTTGTTAGATTGTAGCAACATTTGTTGATGAAGAAATCTATTAAATAAAAAAAAAACAAAACCCCGAAAAATCTATTAAAAAAACGAAAAACCGAAACCGAAATAAAAAACCAATGGTTTGGTATTTTCCAAAATAAAAAATCATAATTTTCCAATCTGATTTTGGTTTTACCAAAATCCAACTTTCGGATTTCCATATCTAAATCTCTCCCCCTTTTTATAATCGAAAAATGATTATAAAACCAAAAAGGGAATGAGAAAGCGCTCAATTCGGAATTTTTCTATCCAAAACTCCCCCTTGTGACATGAGAGATAGAGAGAGACATATAAACACCTCTATATAAGGTGGGTTCATACCACATATAGAGGTGTGCTTGAGAGATGTAACATTGAGAGTGTTAGTGTGTGTTAATTATGTAGATTTAGATCTAGATCCTTTTTTGTAAACACCTTTCATAATCGAATGCATCTCTTAAACACCAAAATCACTGTGTTCTTTGTGTGTTTTTTAATTCCGCATGCCAAACCAATGGTCATAATTCACATCAGTGAGAATGGTTCATTTTTTTGTAAAACCAAAATCAGATTGGAAAATTTGATTTTTTATTTTGGAAAATGCCAAACCATTGGTTTTTTATTTCGGTTTCGGTTTTTCGTTTTTTTAATGTATTTTCAGGGGTTTTTTTTTTATTTCATAGATTTCTTCATCAACAAATGTTGCTAGAATTTAACAAAAATAAATAATTTGCTAAAACATAATACAATAGGAAGTTTGTTCACATTTAGTCATTGTACTTTTTTAGAGGGAAACGAACTTTCGATTTTGTTCACATTTAGTCACTAAACTTTTTTTCATTATCTATTTGTCACTGAATTATTGAAACTGTTCACATTTTACCCTTATGATCGGTAACAACCGGTCATAAGGGTAAAATGTGAACAATTTCAATAGTTTAGTAGCAAATAAATAACGAAAAAAAGTTTAGTGTCTAAATGTGAACAAAATCGAAAGTATGTTACCCTTTCAAGTCATTATCCCTTTATTTTAATAATATCCTTTTGGCCTTTAGCGAAAAACCTGTTGCCAAAGAGTACCTATGTAACACCGTAAATTTGAAGACAAAATTTTCATTTAAAAATCACATAATTCTCACAACACTTTTTACAAAAAGATCATTTATTTAAATTGATATTTGCAACTCCATAATTGTTTGATTAAAATCCAGGATCTTCAAAATATAACTCTTTCATTGGTGTGTACAATCAAGCCGGTGCCTTCCCGCGATCTTGAGAGAAACCTGAAACACATAACACATAACACGGTAAGCACGAAGCTTAGTGAGTTCCCCAAAATACCACATACAACACATTAGCCACTCGAGGCTATAACTCTGTAAGACCCTCCGGTCAATGTGTCTCAGTGGGACCCTCCAGTCCCACAACTCTGATGAACCCTCCGGTCCTAACTCTGTAAACTCTGAATAACACATAACATAAATCACACAGACATAATGCAGTAATATCACAGTACTCAAATAAACACATAAGACCCTCTGGTCACAGATAGATCTCACTTTAGGTAAAGTATAGTGAGAAAACTCACCTTGCGAGCAAGCAAGCAAATATCCTCGAACTCGAATCTCGAACTAGCCACCGCCTAACACATAGGGTAAATATCTCTAATTAATACTCGATTCTCGACTCTAAGTAACCACATGTTATTCTTCTCTCTCTAACTCTCGAATTGGGTAAAAGACCAGTTTACCCCTCCATGGTCTCCATTACTCATGTTGACCAAACCCTAAAGTCAACAGAACTCAAACTCGAGTCAACAGTCCATGTTTGACCCGACTCGTCGAGTGCACTCTTGCGACTCGTCGATTCCCCTCGTTTCCTCAGTAGTCTCAAGAAAGTCCAGCTCAACTCGTCGAGTTGACCCCCAACTCGCCGATTTATTGTACAATCAAACCCATCGGGACAAACCCTCTCCGACTCGTCGAGTCAGGTCATGGACTCGGCAAGTCCCTTCGATCAGATTCCTCATTCAGATGATTTAAGGCAGATCCATCACTCCAAACACTAGATCTACCATCCTAAGGGTCGATTGTCATGTAAAGCTG